GCACTCGTTTGATGGACTTGTGAAGATTAAATGGTGCCGGCCATGTTTTCATCTGACTTGGTACTGGCAGATTTGTCAGCCGCCGCTCACATTGTTCTTACAATTCAATGCCCATTGCTAAGATTTGCATATGCCACCAAATTTCATGTATTGGGAAGTTGGTCCCCAAAGTGTTGAGAAGGGGGACCCAGAAGTGATTGAGGCATGAGGGTTCTGTTATGAATGGGTTATCTTGGAAGTGGCTTTGGTGTAAAAGCAAGCTCTCTCTAGCGTGCTTGCTCTGTCTCGATGTGTGATACCCTCCACCATGTCGTGATGCACCAAGAAGGCCTCCTACAGGGGCCAAGGAGATGCCGGCACTATGCTCTTGACTTCCCAGCCTCCAGAAGCATGAGCTAAATAAACTTGCATTCTTTGTAAATTACTCTGTCTCAGAGATTCAGTTACAGCAACAGCAAATGGCCTAAGACCCAAGTATCCAACCGTTGAGTATTATCTTATGTCTGACATAGTGCTAAAGACACTGTGCTTTATTTGTCTGCACATGCAACAAATAAAGGGAGTCAGGTGTGGTGACTCATACCTGTAATCCCAGCTTCTCAGGAGGCAGAGATTTGGAGGATCACGGTTCTAGGTCAATCCAGGTAAAAAGTTAGAAAGACCCCATATCAACCAACAAGCTGGTGCATACCTGCCATTCCATCTATGGGGTATTTGTATAAATAGGAGGGTTCAGACTGGTCTGGGTAAAAATGCAAGACCCTATCGTAAAAGTTAACTCAAGCAAAAAGTAGTTGAGTGGTAGAGTGGTTCAAGTGATAGAGTGCCTGCCTAGCAAGTGTGAGGCCATGAGTTCAACCCCCATACCACCTTCCTATCTAAATAAATACCTTTTCCCAGGCAGTGGGAGAGGAAGAAAATTACTTAGAGCCAGAATTTGGAAGGTCTTGAATGCCAAGTTGGGGAATTTGGGCAGCAGAAAAGCTGAGGACTTTGAGCAGGTGAGGGACACAATCCCATGTCATTCTGAGGCCAGTACTCTGGAGGGAAAGCAGGGGAGGAGAGAAGTGAGGGTGCGAGAGCCAGGCCCTGCCAAGGGTCCCAGGGAAGCCAGACACAATTCTGTCTTCATGGAGCTTGGAGTTTATCCCATAAATACAGCACAGGCAGGTCAACGTCCAGACAGACGGCCACAGAGCAAAGCTATGTGTACCTTGAGGCGGATGTCAGCGAAGCAAGGTGTTCATTCCCTCACCTGTAACACAGGAGAATGATAACCCATTCACCTTTCTGGAATTTTGAGGATTCAGTCATGTTGGGACAGAGACGTGTTGAGCAGCAGGCCCAGATGGTTGTGGGCCTGGTCAGCCTTGGGGGTGGAGGAAGCCCATTGTATGCTGGTCTCATTGTCCCATCCGGAGGAATGGAGGATGGTCCCGGTCCAGATGACTCTGGAAAGCACCTCTAGATGTATAATGAAGACTGAACCGAAGTTGATGCCTTAGGGGCTTTTTTTTTTTTTTTATTACAACTGCCCAGTTCCATCTCCAGGGCATGTCTCTTCTGCTCCTGCCAGGGGACCTGTGGCTATCCGAGTAGTGACACCAGCAGTTGTGGGTCACAGATGTATGATTAAGGGATAATCGTGACAAGGAGGTAAGGGGCTTTGTTAGAACAGTAACTGGAGGTATAGGCTACTTCTGGAACCTTCTTTGTTTGTGCAAGTGAGGATGTCACCTCAGCTCTCCAGACCTCAGCTTTCTTCTCATGGAGGAGGGCATTGGGCCCAATGACCTCTAACATCCGCTGAGCCTTGGGCTCTCTCTGAATCCAAGGTGTGTGAGAACTCAGAGGCCCCTGTACACATAGCTCCGTTAAGCAGAAGGGACATCTGATTTTAGAACCTGTAGCCCTGGCCCGTGATGGACATGGCCATTGTGGAAAGCCCTCTCTATCTGCTGCCCTGGGGCATGACCTGCCTCTCTGACCTGGGACACAGCTTTCAAGAGGGAGGTGAAACTGGGAACCAAATAGGCATGGGAGCCACTCTTCTGTGGGTACACAAATACCACTGGCCATTTGTCAGGTACCAACTAGGCGTTATGCCTCCCTCAGATTGTCACAGGGATTCTGTACGATTGTTATTATTTATTTTATAGAGACTTAAGCCACTAAGCCACAGTGCAGGATTACATTCTGGGCTGACTCACTCCAAGGCCACCTCCCAGCTGCCAGACAGACACACACCTTTAGCAAGAGAGTGCTTTAGCCCAAGATGAGTCCCTCTGTCCCTGCTTCCCATCCTGTCTCTTGGAACTTTTCTACTTCAACTGGCTTCTTTCTCCCAGCCCACAACCATCGACACTTTCCACTCTTCAAACAAAGCAATGCACACAAGATTTTCTCTTGGCCTTGGGTTCTCCCTCCTTCCCTTCACGTCCACACTGCCTCCATTTCCCAGCTCCATTTTCTACTCCCCCTCCCTGCCCCCAAGTCATCACACTATATGGAACTCACTCTGGGTAAGAACCAAAGGTACCCTTTTACTGCCAGACACAGGCAGTGGACTCTAGTCCTTCTGGTAGATGACAATACCCTGACCATCTCATTGCTACTAAAACATGCTCCTCCCTCCAGTTCTGCAGCACCTGCTCTCTTGGTTGAATGCATTCGGCAATGCATTCTGTATCTCCCTTTCCATGAACATAAATCTTTTACAGGGCTCCATCTACCATCTCTTCCTTCTCCACCACAGTGCATTCTGGGCACATCCTCTTCAGTCGCCCAGACAACCCCTTATGTACATTGGTCACTTCCAATCTCTATTCCCAGTCCTAATCTCAGGTCTGAGGTTCAATGCCACACATGGAACTTCCAGAAATGACCCTGACTGTGTCTTAGGCCTTGAGTGTCAATACATTTTTATTTTCTTCTCCCAAATCTGTGTCTGGTCTTATCTCCTCCATTTCAGTACCATCCATCTCCTATCCAGGTGGCACTCAGAAAACCTACCCAGCATCTCAGTGGTAAACCTAGACCCTACCATGCCTTTATACCCTCCACACTCCACACGTACTGCACCATACCTGCATCTACACCCTTCTGCCCCCAAACACCTCTTGCCTCAGGCCCCTTCTCTTCTTTCCCACTGCCACCATTGTCTGAGCTCACTGCCTTCAGGGACAGCTGCTCTGGTCTCCCATTGTGCTGTGCTTACCTCCCACCTTCCACCTGCCCACCCATTGCTAAGTGCACTACAGCTAGAATGATCTTTCTCATATGAAAAGCCGTCCTGAGGATCTTGTCCTTATTCATCTCTGCAGCCTCATCTTCCATCACTCCCACAAACCCTGTGCTGTGTTTAGGGGAAAATCCCTGCAGAGCTCAGCTCCTTTCCTCATCTGTACCTGTTGTTTCATCTGCCGGAAATGCCTTGCCTTTTGCTCTTCCCCTGGGGTCCTGCATCTCCCCAGACACCCAAGTCCCTTCCTTCAGGTGTCTTCCCTGTCCTCCCCAAGTGAGCTGTACAGTCCTACTCTGTGCTGCCCAGGCCACTTGTCACAATCACTACCACCTGCTAGCCATGTTTGCGTACAAGTATTGCTTCTCCCCTGCGAGGCTGAAAGCTATGCCATGGACATTTGCATTCTCGGCATGGTGCACAGTGCCTGGCACAGTGCCTGTTAGAGTAGATATGGTTGGATAATAATATATAGGGCATTATTTTTGGGAGACATGCTCAACTTGAACCCCAGCTGAAATTACTCAGAATCACACAACTCAGCAGTCAGAGATAGAACCCACCTTGTTGATAAAATTCAACCACTTGATCTACCCAGCCTTTGTGGACTGAGCATCATCAGACACTACCTCTGGTACTGGATTCCAAGATGAATGAGACACTGCTCTGGTCCAGGGTTAGAAAGCCTAGAATCCCTGGCTTCTTATGAGTCGGTGCTGTGGCCTCATGGGGGATAAATGTGTGTACTCAACCTTCATGTTTGGAGGTGTGGTGGGAGAGGCTCTGTCCTAGTACTGGACATCGTGACTGAGATCAAAGCCTTTCAGGATGGGGATCAAGAGGATTTATCTGTCCTGCACTTAGGGATGTGGTCAGCAGTGTTACCAAATTGCACTTGCAGGCGAAAATCATGACCTGTAACATTGACTGCCATGGAAACACAATTTGAAACCTTGTGCCATGGGTCCCTTTGTAATAGCTCCCAGCTCGATTTGGCGTTTGCATTCAGCATCTGCATCTGTAGCTCTGTAGCTGTGTCTGCACCTGTATATAAGATAGGCTGTGCTGTCCTGAGTGGCCGGAGGAAGTAAAAGATGAACAAGAAAGACCCCACGTTAAGAAGCTGAAAGTCTACTAAGAGAGTTAGCAAAGAGATACAAATACCCAAGTGCAGGAAAGAAAGACTGAGGAATGACATGTTTACCAAGGGCTGTGCTTTTCAATTACCTTCTCACTTCTGAGCCTGCAAGTGCACTTGGTTGGAGCACAGTGCTGAACAGGCCAAAGGCACAGGCCAGTTATTTCTGGACAGTTCTGCTCGCTGACCCAGGTGAGCACTCAGTCCAGTCAGCCTCATTTTGGAAGCTTCCTTGTGCATGAGTTGGAGACTATTCAGCACAATTCTGACATCACTGTTTTCAAAGAGGAGCCCTTTTCCTCAGCCCTGATATTTACTCTCATTTCAACTTTTTGTGATTGGGTAATGGGGCCAATCCTAAACCGTGTGAATTTAAAATGTCCCAAGCTTTGCAAAGTTAATGTGATTGTTTCTGAGTTTGTAAAAACACTGATTAAATCAGACAGCATACAATACAAAATTTAAAGTCCCAGTTTAAAAAGTGCTGCTTGGTTTCAGAAGAGAAGCAAGCCTTTAGTTGGCACGGATGTTCGGTAACAGCACTAAAAAAACATCAAAGATCAACGCACACTTATCCCAGGGCATTCACAGGGAACACCCTCTGTCTTTCCCATATGCGGCATGGAAAACGGGGCCAGAACGATCCTGCAGAAACTTCCTGATGAAAACAGTTGGTCAGCGTCAGCCCTTCCCAAGTTTGAACGGGCGGCCGTGGAACCCCTGCCGGGCTCCAGAGCGTCTCCACGGCTGGCTGACGCCTGCAGCGCCTGCGCGCAGCCAACAGGAGGGGCTCCGAAGTCCACCGTCCCGGGGAGGCTGCTGGGTTCAGAGGACAATCCCTCTACACAGTCCTATCTGGCAGAAACCGTCCAGATTAGCTATTCAGGAGTCAAGCGCGACAAATTTACACCTTTCCCCTTTGGTGTTAGCCACCCCTCCCCCACCCGCCAGTTCTGCATCCGGGCGCGGTTGCGGTGCCTCCTTTGCAGCGGGTTCCAGGTCTGCATCCCCCAAGACGGGGAAAAACAAAAAGAAAAAGAGGGTGGCTTCTTTGTTCTTTCACCAAGTAAACTCGGCTTTATAGAATACTCCATGCCTCCCTCGCCCTCCCTCCCACCCCAAGTTTGCGCCTTTATTGTCCCCGCATCGAGTGCCAGTTGTTTCCATTGAGACGTTCCATGTTCCTGACCCAAGGCTAAGTGCTTTTCCTGTCTTATCATATTTAAGTCTCCCAGTAGTAGCTCTTGGAGGTAGATACCATTGTCCCTTTTTTTCGGATGAAAAGAACTAAGGCACAGAGAATAATCTGGCAGATGTATCTATGTTTTGAGGCCAAGTTGGGTTTGATACCAAAGCCCCAAATCCCTATTACTGCTTTTTATACAGCCAGAATAACGAACTCTTATCGAGCCATTACGTACTGTATGCCAGGCACTCTGCAAAGTATTTTTCTAAACTACTCTCAGAGGCAGTTCCGCCCCTTGCCTTGCTATGTGATTACAAACAGGGTTTTTAACGTCTTTTTGATTCAATTTCCCTGTCTGCAAAATGAGGCGACGAGCTGGCTGTTGTGAAGAGTAAGGGAATTAATGCGTGCAAAGCGCTTAGAACGGACTGACACATATTAATAATTGAAAGTTTTGCTTTTTGAAAACTATCATCTCCACTTCACAGAGAACCTAGGCTTGGAGAGGTTAAGTAACAAATTGGTCCAGATCGCCCAGCGCACATCCTGCAGCACGGACCTGCTCAGACGATCCGGGCCAGGCCGCAGGTGAATTGCACCTGCCGGGTGGGAGACATACTTCCTGGGCTTCGCCTCAGAACGCGCAGCAAAGGCCTGGAAGGGTCGATCCTTAGGGAACACACAGGCTGGGGGTCGCACAGGATTGGTGCGTACTGGGGCGCCGGCGATGGGGGGCGGGGAGTGTCGCCCTCGAAAGCTGTGTGGGCGACACCTGCGCGCCAAGACTGACTGCCAGGCGGGAGCCCCCGCCTCCTTCCCTCCGCTCCCCTCCCCCACTTCCCCTCCCCCACCCCACCTTCCCCACCCCAGCGCGGGGCCGCCCGCCCGCCCGCGCTCCCCCGCCCGCCGCGCTCCAGGGCGGAGTTTCCTCCTCTGCTCATTGTTCGCGGCCCAGCGCCCGCCCAGCAGCCGCCCCGCCCGGCCCGGCAGCCTCCGCCGCGGACGCGCTCCTGGGGGAGGGGGCGGAGGCCGGCGCGGACGGGACGGGGCGGGAGTCGCCGCAGCCGCCCGCGGACCCGCAGCCGCGCAGACACCGCCCGGGACGCAGCCGCCGCCGGTCCTCTGCTGCTGGCTCTGCGCCCCAGTCCAGCTCTGCGGCAGGGAGGAGGGGCCGCCGGAGCGCGACTCGGGAGCCTCGGGCCATCGCCAGGCCGCGGGAGCCACCGCCAGGACTCCCAGAGCGGCGCCCACGCTCCCGCCACCCAGACGCACGGACCCTGCGCCAGCTCTGCAGCCACCTGCTCCGGGCCTGCGGCGAGGACACGATGCGCTCCGCGCTGGCGCTCTCAGTGCTGCTGCTGCTGCTGCCGTCGTCGCTTTCTGAGGATGACCGTGAGTGACCAGCCCGGGTCCGCCGGGATCCCCCTTGCCTTCTTATGCCTCATCGGGGCCAGGCTGCAGGAAAGCCCGCTGCACTGCGTGGTCCGACCCCGATTAGCCTCTGTGCACCTGGGCTGCGCGCGGAGCCCTGACCTTGCACCATCCACGCCCCCTCCAAACTCGAGGATGCGGCAGGTGCGGGGCCCCAGCGTGGATCTGCCCCTGGTCTCACTCGGGTGGAGTGAGCGGCAGAGCGTGCGGTGGCCCAAGGGGCGCGCCGGCGCGGAGTGGGTTGCGGCGGTGCAAGAGGAAACTTAGGGCACCGCCAGGCACCGGGTTGCTGCGACCCCATGGTGCGATTACTCCTTTTCTGCCTGTTGGCGGGGGTGAGGGACAGTACAGTGTAGTCCTGGAAACCAGGCAAAGCGGCAGGCTGGAAGCTTACGAGGAAGTCCCTGAAGCAGGTGACAAGCCTCCAGTAAGTGCCCACGCGGACCGTGTGCTTACTGGTTTGCAGGGATTTTTCCAAGTGTGCAGGCTCAGACTCCCTGAGTCCGAGCCGAGGCAGGTGGAGGGGACTCAGTGACCTTCCATAGTTCCAGACTCACCTGGCTGAGTGGGAACCTTGCCTCCCTGTTAGCAAAAGGACTTCTCAGTGCATGTACATACAGGGTGATGAGACCCTTTCCCTTCCCTTTGTGCAAACAGGAACTTCTCTCTTAAGAGATTTGGGCGGCATCTTAGAAACATTTTAGAGACAAACTAAGGTGTTATGTCATGAAAGAGAACTGCCATTGACAAGCGACACCCCCACTATTTCCTTCTAACCCCGAAATGTTACTTTCTCTTGGGGGTGAGGAGTTAGGCGGTGTCCCAAAGCCCCTGAGAACAGCCACAGTCTCCCGGCAGGGGAGATCCGATTCGTATTCTCTTTCGCCTACCTTAGCATGTGTCTGCAGGAAGAAAGAATAGAGGGGTGGCCCCTGCCCTAGAGCTTGGAGGACTGTGGTGACAGCTCAGACGGGGAAGGGACTGTGCTGCTGCAGGTGCTGGCCGTTTGGGACTAGATTCCATGTGGAGGGGACGATGAGGTGACAGTACAGTCTCCTCTGGGCACTGCTGGCTGACACTCAGCACTTTGGCTTGAACCTTTGGTGGGTGGCCTGGGACTTCCACTGGGAGAAGGTTGTGTGCCCCTGGGGGAGGGGAGCGGCTTTGAGGATTTGCACAACCCTCCACCATGAGAAGTGCTTCCGCTCCCCGCAGTCCTGCTCTTAGGGCAGCCAGATTTCAGGGTGGGCCTCCACTTGCAACCTTTTCAGGGGAAGGCACCTAGCACCACCCAGAAACCAGATGGGTTAGTCCATCCTCCCTCTGAGCTGAAAGAGGCTGGTCCACCCTTTCTTAGAGGAAAGACCCCCCTCAGTCCTGCCCTGATGCTCCAGAGCCACCGGTTACAAAAGCTCCAATCCCTGTTCACTGCTGGCTTCAAGGCTGGGGCTCTTTCCTGGCACCTGGGCAGTGCCCAGAAACCATGTCTCTGCTCTGAAGCCTTCTCCAAACCTAATACAGGGATGGTTCAAGGTCAGAGCTTCATTTGTGCAAATAAAAGTAGCCTTGACTCCAACCAGCAAGTCTCTGGGCCTCTGAACCCCAAATGCCCAATCCTCAAAATACCCATTATTATAATATACAGTAATATAGGGAAGTGCTTTGAGAAGAATGAGGTGTGGGGGAGTTATCAGGATGATGACAGTGATGATTTGCACACATCGAGGTCAAGAAAGGCTGAGGGGGCAGGCTTGGTGCTGGGTAGCAGTGTTGAGTTTTACACTCTTCTCTGGGGACTCAGGGAGGCCAGCTGTACCTGACTGTTGTGACCAGGAATGGCATAACCCCCCCCAATAGCTGAAATTCTGTGATTTGATGCAAAACAACATAGGTTGGTAGTGCGAGTCTGTTTCAAAGAATTATCCCAACAGTGCTCCTGGAGCTTACCTTCTAATAACGAGGTGGATCTAGCAGCCTCTGAGGTTAATTAAAGCTGGGAGCTTAGGTGTTCAGTGCTTTTCCTTCTCTTAGCCATTTGGCTGAACCACTCGGCATGTCATCCCTGTGAAGACTCAGTTTTCTTATTCGTGAGATACAATAAAGACTAGTTCCACCGTTAAAAGATTCTGGGCTTCTGTGTTCCCTCAGCTGTGAAAGAATGGACCAGTTTAATCCTGTCAACTTCATAGTCATTTGATGGATAAATTCTGGGCAGGAGAAAGGCAACGAGGTGTGGAACACTCAGACTGGGTGTGACTGGGGACCAGCTAGCCGACCCCTGTGGCCTCAGTCTGCTCCTCTGTGAAATGATCACAAACCTCCTAGGTACATGAACAGGGCCCGGCCACAGCTCAGGGCCTACAGTAGCAGCTTTGATGATTTAGTAAGAGCACGGGGATCGAGCACCCACTGGTTTAGGGCTCCCATGCACCAGGATTCAGCTGATGTTTTTGGGTGTCCGTCATAGAAGCTGAAGCCCAGTACTGCCCCTCAGGGGCAAGGGAGGCCTGTGGAAAAGAACTGTGAGGGTTGGGGGTGGGGGAGGGGCTGTGGAACGCTTCCTGAAGGAGGTGGCCTTTTTAAAGTAAAAAGGCTAGAGTGGAGGCCACCAGCTGAGACCAAAAGGATTGTAGGCTGTGGGGGAAGTGCAGGTTGGGGGCTGGGACCCCCTGAGTCGAGGTCAGTGTTAAGCAGGAAGGTTTTGGGGAGATGAGCTCTCTAAAGGGTCCGTGGGATGGGGTGCTGCTAGCAGGGCGCTGCTGGGACAGGACATGGAGTCAGGAGCAAACCTTTCTCAGGCAGAGTACCTGGTGACCGTGTTGCCAGACCCGTGGCCTGCAGCTTAAAGTGACCCAGAAGGTCCTCAGGGGTCCACTGAGGCCTGTAAAAGGGGAGAGGCTGCTCCTTCTCCGTCTTGGAAGGGAGAGGAAGGGCTCCTGTTGGCTTTGATGCCTGTGCCCTTGAAAGCTGAGGGGGAAGGGCGTCCAGGTTGGCATCCTGGGTGGGGAGGGCTGGCCGTGGCCTCTGCTGGGAGGCTGTCCTTGTTTCCTAGGTGAGCCAGGGTATGTGCTGTGGCCGCCCGTGCGTCCCGCACGCATTGTGGCCCTCGGGGGAGGGGTCAACATGGAGTTCATTTCCACCTACCAGCCTAGCTCAGTCGACATTCGGAACACCTTGGGAGATTTCCTCTGGACCCTTGACCTGAAGGGGTTCAGCTCTCTGGAAGGAGTGTCGCAGGCCAGCTTGTATCTGGGCAGTGTCTGACCAGAACTGGTAGGGGCAGCTGATGACGTTAGGGATCCCCAGCTGCTGTGACAGGTGCAGGTGGCTGGCATGATCACAGCTTAGCGCATCGCTCCAAGCCTTCTCCTCCAAAAGACAATGTGAGGAGTCCTCTACAGCTGTGGCCTTCTGGGGAGGGGTTCAGGTGTAGACATCCCAACTCTGGGAAGGGGCTGCTCCCTCACACCCTTCGCACAGAGGCCCCGGGCTGCTTCGGCTCTCTCCACAGCTGTACAAAACGGGTGACTGTGTTTTGTGTGGCCCCCACCTAACAGCCTGAGCCCATCTGGAGACTTGTCAGACCTCTGACCTCGCTCTGGGCTCCTTTCCGATTGTGCCCATGGGTACGAGACCAGGCAGAGAGCTTGGCTGGTGGGGCTTCCTGTCACATCCTGTTCCCAGGAACACCATGAAGTTGGAGGAGTCTTGCTGTTGTGTGTCTCTTGTACTTATGGGTCTGTTAGAAGATGGAAGGGAGTGGCAGATTTGGGGTCAGGACTCTTGGGTACAACCAAGTGACTACAGTTATTCTCTTTAAGAAAAGCTTTCAAGAAAATGTCATCAAATGACACATTACAAGGAGCCGCTTTGTATTTGCAGTAGCATTTCCCTAAGATTCCTTTGAGTGGTAGCCTGTGGGCTGGTCACACGTGCAGAGGGTTAACGTCCACGCCATTTCTGAATACGTGGAAAGTCAACAGATCTACATTGCTGGAGCATCTCTGGAAGGCACCTTCTGTACCCCACTCGCTTTCTAGTGGAGGGCTGCAGACCAGGGACTTGAGCAGGAGGTGAGTGTGTGCAGCCACCTGTAACCTGTCAGGGAGCTCAACTCAACTGCGCCAGATCGCTGCTGGGAATTGATAAAACTCAGCAACAGTGACAAATCTAGACTGTGCCAAAGTCTCTTCCCATAAAGGTAAACCGAGGCTTGCAGCCACCTGGTTACTTAGAAGCTAGGCCCTCCAAGGACTGTCAAATACTGTCACAGCACTGGCCACCATGTGTTATGAATGTGCCTCCCACAGGCCCATAAGTCCCTGCGGTGTGCACAGCCTCCAGCCAGCACTCGCAATAAACAGCTGTTCAAGGAACACTGGTGGGAAGACTGGCCACAAAAGTGCAGAGTCACATGCAGACCCAGGAGCAGACCTTCCGCTCATCTCCCACATCCCGGGTCCATCATAACAGCACCCAGCTCAGACCCCCAGCCTGAGTTGGCCTCTGGACCACCCATCCTTCTCCCCTTTCACTGTCCCCACCCTCTCCCTGACACACCACCACCACCCTCTCTTCCTTTGTATCCTTATTCCCCTTTGGGTCAGCCACCTCGCACTTCCCTAGGGCCAGGGTGCAGGGTGGCACCCGTCCGCCAATTGTCATGGCCGGAAAGCTGTGTGCCTCAGCCTAGGGGAAAAGACTTATGAGTACAGGCTGAGCAAGACTTGCATTCAGTCCTAGGTTGGGGTGCAGGCTCTCTCCCAGAACCAGGCCCCTGGAGACCTTGGCTGACCAGGATCCCAAAGCTGTCTGATCTTTAATCATCCAGCTGCCTGACTCTGGCCAGCAGTGCAGTGCTGACACAAGGCCTGGGAGAAGGCCACCTTGTAATTCCTAAATAAATCAACTTGGTGTGAGGCTGCAGCCACAGAGCAGAAACCCCATGGGATTCTGCCTGA